AAATAAAAATAGTTTTTTATTTTACTTTTTTTTGTTTGAGGGGGTGGGGCTAGGGTTGCGCCGCCCCATGGCGCTTCCCAAATCCCAAACCCCCCTCCCCACTGGCCGCCATGCGGCTGCAAAGTCGCGCGGACACGTCCGCGGGGTCGCGGCCTAGGCCTAGGCCGCGGACTTGTCCGTGGATGGCCGCCGCCGAGGGGGATTCGTAGGGATTTGCATCTCGCTGGGCCGGGCACAACTATGGACGAATGAAGTCAAGGACGTGGAAGTGGGATGACATTGAGAAGAGGCTTGTGAAGGCGGGAGTGACTACTAGGAAGGCCGAGGAATGTGGGAAAAATTGGGACAACCTGTACCAGCAGTTCAAATCTGTGCACAAATTTATGAGATAATCCAGGAAGCAAAACTTCTTCACACTAACGCCGACGAAGGGAAAGAAGAGAGGGTTCAACTTTCGGATGGATGAGCGTGCATATTCGAAGATGATCGCGATGTCAAAGGCCGATCGACAATCACACTATTTACCTGGCGGATCTCGCGGACACGGATGTGGCTGGAGGGGTTCAGATGCCCAGGCCAGGTGGCGTCCGGAATGAATCCGTGGCTAGCGAGGGATGTGGGGACAGACAGAACGACGATCAGGGATTGGCGAGGGATTTGACGTTCAGCGGTGGTTGTGCACGCGGGGGTGGCAAAAGGAAGAATGTGAGACAACAGACCTTCGATGCGATCACCAACGTCATGGATAAGCAGGGGAAGCTGATGGCGATGACGGTGGACAGCGCAAGCAAGAGGCAATGCTTAGTCCTGATGAGGCAATGCGACATTCTCGAGCGAGAGGTGGAGGTGCAACCGTGCAGAAGGAGCACTACGAGAAGATCGACCAGGCGAAACTGATGATGTGCAACACCCTTTTGGAGATCGCGAAAGCGATCCGCGAGCGATCTTAACGTCTCTCGGTCACTCGTCTCCGAGGTAGGAGTGATCGCCACTTGTGCGTTTTGGGAGCACCGCCTTTGCCGTCGTCCTGCGTGCCGCAGTGTGCCGCGGTGGAGGTAGTGTAGACACAGGAGGGGCCGTTCTTGCCATTCACATTGTTTGATATCGGTATTGTTTGATTATTGTTTCAACTTTCAAGTGTTCATTGCTCGCGTGCCTCACGAAGCGTCCTTCAGTGTCGTTTCCATGCCCTGCGGCACATCCGTCGTCGTGCAGTAGCTTCTTTAATTTCGATTGCTGTGGCCGATTGGTGTTGCGATTGTCCAACGTGCTCTTAGAACAACTGCAATGATGTCAACCTTTCTTCAAGGCTGTCAATGTGGATTGTCTTCGCTGAGTAGTGTTGCGATCATGGACAGATGATTCGATGAAAAGTTGAATGAGGTGAAATGCTTATTGTCGGTTTATTTTTGTTTTGCGTTGAATCCGATCTTCGTTTCATAGGAGATTGCCAAGCGTTTCAGGATGTGCTGCGTGAATGACCACAAACGTTTTTTTGTGTTTTTTTTTTTGTAGTAATTTTTTTCTTTTATTTTTTCTCTTTCTTTGCTTGTCCTTGTTTTGTTTTGTTGCGATCCTGGATCGTTTAAGCGTGGTCGGTTCAAAGTCGCTCCGATTCTGCTCGATCTGTGGCGATGCATGAAGCCACATGGAGGGGGGAGGCTCCTCGCCATACTTGAAGCCGATGGATGCGCCTTGCTGTACCTGAAGCCTGTGGGGGGGGGGG